GTTGCCTAATGTAGATGTGCCAAGCGTAGACTCCCCTGCTGCGTCAGGCGTAGGATCTCCTGCTTTGCTTAGCCTCGGTGCTTCCACCGCTTCACTGCCGCCTCGCGCGACTGCTGCGCTTTCCTTCACCTTGGACTCTGGCGCCTCCCGGTGTTTCTTCCGCGACTCCACGACGCTGACGCCGCTGCCTGTTCCCGCTGCAGTTACTCTTGCTGACCCCTCCGGTGGTCCCGTCGTTGCCCGCAGTTCCACCTCCCTTCCCTGTCCGGCGGTTCCTTCAGGTTCGCTCACAGGTCTGCATATCCCCTCGTTCTCCAGAAACCTAGTTGGTGTCGGCTGCCTCCAGGACCTTGGCGTCACCACTACGTTCCCTGGTAACGAGCGGTATGCTGTCTGTACTGAGGCCGCCACTGGTGCCCCCCTTACCACTTTCCCCCGGGTTTCGGTGTCCGGCCTGTTCACACTTGACACCGCGACTTCTCCGGCTGGGTCTTCCCCCCAGGTTGCTGCGTCCACCCAGGTTGCTGCTGCGTGCTCCTGTCGGTCCCTCACTCACCCGACTCTCCTTTGGCACCACCGCCTTGGTCACCCTGCACTCCCGCGCCTGCGTCACATGTCCCAGCACGGTCTCGTCCTTGGTCTCCCCGGTTCGTTCCCCGAGTTTCCCTCCTCCCCCGCCCCCCCGTGCACGCCTTGTGTCGAGGGCCGGCTCCGCCGTGCCCCTCACTCCTCCTCGTTTCCCCCTACCACCGCACCACTGCAGACTCTGCACATGGACGTCTGGGGCCCTGCCCCGGTCCATGGGCCGCGTCGCGAGCGCTTCTTCCTAGTGCTTGTCGACGACTTCACGCGCTACACCACTGTCTTTCCCCTGGAGCGGAAGGCCGACGTGCCTGACGTTCTCATCCCCTGGCTTGTCTCTGCTCGTGTCCACCGCGGTCTCCCTGCCTTGCGCCTCCACTCCGACCGGGGTGGCGAGTTTGCCTCAGGTGTCCTTGGTCGCTTCTGTCGTGCGGAGGGCATCACCCAGACGTTTACCCTGCCGGACTCCCCGCAGCAGAATGGGGTCGCTGAGCGACGCATCGGTTTGGTCATGGAGGTGGCTCGCACCTCCATGATCCACGCCGGTGCACCCCATTTTCTGTGGCCGTTCGCCGTGCGCTACGCCGCTCACCAGCTTAACCTGTGGCCGCACCCCCAGCGGCCGCCGGTTTCGCCGACCCTTCTGTGGACCGGGTCCCCTGGTGACGCGTCTGCGTTCCACGTCTGGGGCTGCCTTGCTCACGTTCGTGCCTCTGGCACGGACAAGCTCACTGCCCGCACCCTTCCCTGCGTCTTCCCCGGTTTCCCCCTTGACGCGTCCGACTGGCACTTCTACCACCCGCCGTCTCACCGCTTCTTTCACTCTCGCGACGTCACCTTTGACGAGTCCGTCTCCTTCTACCGCCGCTTCCCCCACCGTGGTCCCCCGGTTACTCCCCCCCTGTTCCTGGTCCCTCCTTCCCCGGTGGTCCCTGCCCCTCCCCCCCCCCGCCCCCTCGTCCGGCCCCCTCTGGTGTGTCTCACGTCACCCCCCTCCCGTCGGTCGTCCCGGTCGACGAGTCTTCTGACTCTGGTAGTCCTCCGGCGCAGTCCTCGCCGTCTGTCCCTCCCCCGGTGTCTCCTCCTCCACCGCCTCCGCAGCCGCCGTCACCGCAGCTGCTGCAGCTGTCGTCTCCACCGCCGCCGCCGTTGCAGCCGTCCTCTCCGCCGCCACCGCCGTCGCGGCCGTCGCTGCAGCCGCCGCCGCCGCCGCCGCCGTCGTCGCTGCCGCTGTTTGTGGACTCTGGGGGTGCTGGCGTTGAGGTGGGTCCTAGTCCCGGGGCTCCTGTCGTGGCTTGTCCCGGCGGGCCTGGGGGTGTTACCGGTGCTGGCGGGGTTTCGGGCTCTGGGGGTGTCCCTTCTGGGGGTGCCGGTGTGGAGGGTTCGGGAGGTAGCCGTCGCGCAGCTTGTGGCCCTGGCGTTGGTGTTGTGTCGCCGCAGCAGCAGTCCCCGCCGGTGTCCGCCCTCCGTCTGCTCGGCCTTCCGTCCCCTGACCCTGCGCCTGTTCCTCACCTGCCGTCTCCTCCTCTTCCCGTCTACGGCCCCGTGTTCCCTCCGCCGGACTCGTCCCCGGCTCGTTTTCCCCCTCGTTCCCCACCAGTGTCCCCTCCTCTGTCTCCTGACCCGACGCCTCCCTCTCACGTCTGGTCTCGCCGCCCCTCCCGTGCTCGTCCTGTCTCCCCCGTCCCGCGCTCTCACCCTATGTTGCTCCGGTCCCACGCGTCTCGTCCTCCCCTCCTCCCGTCTCCTCCTCCGTCCTCTCTTGTCGTTGCGTCTCCTCCTCTGTCTGACTACTTTCGTGCCGCTCGTCCTCTTGTTCCTCGGGTCCTTGCCTCTCTCGTTACCGACCCGTCTGTTCCCGTGTCGAGTCTGGACGCCCTTGTCGCTGCGGTCACTGACTTCGCCTCTACCCGCCGCCTTGACTACGCCACCGCTCTGGTCTCTGACCCTGCCTGTCCTTCGTCTGTCGGGGGTGCTCCTGCCCTCGGCAGTGACGTCCTGGAGGACCGCCAGTTCGAGCTTGCTTTCCTCTCCGAGGCTGCTCCCCATCTCTGTTCCATGCTGCTAGTCCCTGAGGGTGACCCAGACGCTTTCGACATCCCGACCCCTCGTACTTACGCTGAGGCGGTTTCGGGACCCTGGGCCTCTCAATGGATAGCTGCCATGGAACAGGAGATGGCATCTTGGAGATCCACCGGCACCTTCGTCGACGCAGTTCCCCCACCTGGGGTGAACGTGGTCGATGGCCGTTGGCTCTTCAAGGTGAAGCGCCCTCCTGGAGAGCCGCTTGTGTTCAAGGCGCGCTACGTGGCTAGAGGCTTCAGTCAGCGCGAGGGGGTGGACTTCTTTCAGACTTTCGCTCCTACACCGAAGATGACTACTCTTCGGGTTCTGTTACACGTAGCGGCTCAGCGTGACTACGAGCTTCACTCCCTCTGTCACAGGATCGAATGTCCGAGGAAAGGTTCGCTCAATCTTCACTATCATTCAGTACAAGGTGCTTTTATACTTCCAGAGTACATCAGGTAACCAAGGTTTATCCTATCCAAAGGGAATAGACCCTTCTAGAAATAGAATCACCATGCGTATAGCCACGCAAGGCTATTGGCTTTAAGGGATTACGGCAGGATTACGCTAGATATAGCGCGCCAGTACATCCCGAGCCTGGTCGGTGATATAATCATAATAATAGGATAAACCAAAGGATAATGGAAAAGGAGGAATAGGAAACCAAATGAGATGAGATAAAGACCAAATGAATGAGGATAAAAAGAGGAATGAAATAGAAAGGAAATATGGAAAGGGGAAAATAGTGTAACGGGGTCGTACTCTCACACCCTCGACTTCTCCACTGCCTTCCTTCAGGGCAGCCTTCACGAGCAGGTCTACCTGCGTCGTCCTCAGGGCTTTACTGGCACTTTCCCCCCTGGGACCCAGTGGCTTCTGCGGCGCCCAGTCTACGGCCTGCGCCAGGCGCCTCGTGAGTGGCACGACACGCTGCGTGCTACCCTTGCTGACCTGCAGTTCTTTCCATCCTCTGCAGACCCCTCGCTCTTCGTTCGTGCTGGCCCGACTCCGTTCTACATCCTTGTCTACGTAGACGACCTGGTCTTTGCCACAGCTGACAGGGACGCACTGGCCTCCGTGAAGGCAGAGCTGCTGAAGAGACACACCTGCACTGACCTTGGAGAGTTGCGCCGTTACCTTGGCTTGCAGATCTCCAGGGACAGAGCCGCGCGCACCATCACCCTGACTCAGTCACACTTGGTGCGCCAGGTCCTTCAGAGGTTCGGCCTTCAGTTCTCCTCCGCACAGCCCACCCCTCTTCCTCTGGACCACAGACTCTCCGCTCCAGTTTCTGAGGAGTCGGCAGATCCCAGTGGTCCTTACGCTGAGCTAGTGGGTTGCCTTATGTACCTGATGACTTGCACTCGCCCAGATCTCGCATACCCTCTCAGCATCCTGGCTCGTTTCGTGGCCACAGGCAGACACCGACCTCAGCACTGGTCTGCTGCTAAGAGGGTTCTGCGTTATCTTGCAAGTACATCGGGCATGGGGTTAGTGCTAGGCGGACGCAGGCCAGTGGTCCTTACTGGACACACAGACGCTTCTTGGGCAGACGACGCCGAGACGCTTAGGTCTTCCCAGGGCTACTGTTTTAGCCTTGGCTCAGGTGCTGTCTCGTGGAGAGCTACCCGCTCCTCGTCTGTTGCCCAGTCCAGCTGTGAGGCTGAGATCTACGCCGGTGCCATGGCGGCACAGGATCTCCGCTGGCTGACCTTCTTGCTCACTGACTTAGGTGAGCGGCCTAGCTCTGCCCCGGTCTTGTACGCTGACAACAGGGCCATGATCCTCCTGTGTCAGGAGCCTCGACTCGAGGGTAGAGCGAAGCACATCCAGCTGCGGTACTTCCTCCTGCGCGAGCTACAGCAGCGTTGCCAGGCTCGCGTAGTACACTTGGCCTCTGGTGCCAACACAGCTGATATCTTTACGAAGGCGCTTGCGCCTAAAGATCATCAGCGGCACTGTGTACAGCTTGGTCTGGTTCTTGTAGTCCCTCACTTACTCGGGCCTTGACTTTGTACTGTCCTATATATATGTGTACACTCAGACTGGACTTGTGTCCTCTCACAGTGGTTGGACTAGTAGTGCCGCCCTGTACTTGTTCTTGTCTTGTCTGTACTCCTTGTGACTGGTCTTTTAGACCCTTGTCTCAGAGGCTGGACTAGTAGTGCCGCCCTGAGCTGCTTGTCTAGGACATTCCCCTATGCAGTCCAGGGGGTGTGTCAAACATGTATTATTGATCATGTTTGTATAGACTGTATAGGGTAACCTCCTAGAGGGTACAACATTTAGGTATATGTGCATGTACTCTCTAACTCTATCATCATTAAAAATTCTAGTTTTGAGAGGATTACGTTAGCGGGAAAAGTTGTGACTACGGGAAAATGTCCAAGGATACAAAACTAGGGCTGTACTCACTACGAACTGAAATAGCTAGGCTATATCAAATATGACCTAGCTAAGCTATATAAATATATTTGTTGACATGCAGCACCAGCACAGCAGAGGCCTGAATTGCGCTGGGTCCACCACATTAGATTGAATCCCAGTTTGGAGGCGCCTTATGGCTGGTTACACCCCCCTCACTTCCATTGCCCTTCCATCGCCCTTCCAGCGTCTACTCTAACACACAAGATACACCACATCAGACTGAATGCCCACCGTGGGCGGCTGGGCCACCACCTTCCTCAGATAGCACCCACCCCCAGTGGTGCTATCCAGCTCGTATGTATGGTTGGAGTAGATGGTGCGGCTCTTGACCGAGCCCGCACCAGTGTACATCTCTTTGAACCCGGCGATCCGCTCGTTGTGAAGGTACGTCTGGAGGGCGGCTGACGGAGAGGCGTCCACGGGCTGATAGTAGTTGAAGGTGTTGTTGGTGAGGAAATACACGGAGCCAGCCGCTGCGAGTGGGCCAGGGGAGAGGGGGGGGGGGATGGGAGAAGGACAGTGGATGGTTCGAGGTAGGGAATGCGAGGGTGAGCAGAAAGGAGGTGAGTAAGCTCTGGGACGTTGGGAGGGGAGGGGGGACGGAGGGATTGAGCTTATGGGGTGAGGGACAAGAGGCAAGAGAGAATGGCAAGGATAGTGTGATAGAGTGGTGGTGCAGACAGCACTAGGAACATGACAACGTACCATCGAGCCGTGTCTGGTTCATGAACAGAGGGAAGTTGAACCGATCAACAGCCGTCGATGCAACCGTCTCCGTGTTCCCGGGGACGGACCGTGTAACGGTAACGGCAGAACGGATGTTCTGGCGCCACACCTGCACCCACTGGTTGCTGGCCGACGTGACCGTGGCATCAAAGGCAAGAGAGCCGGTGACCACAGTTTTCACTGCACCGGCTGCGGTGGTGACTGTGCCTGTGATGGTGTAGTCCCGTGCTGCTGTCGTGCCGAACACTCCGTTGGTGCCGGATGCTCCTGTTGCGGTTTCGGTGATGGGGGTTACCAGGTTACCACCCTGTTGGGGCAACGGACGAGGTGGATGAACAGCAAGGGAGGATGAGCACCGGGGCGGACCGGAAATGGGAGAAGAGAAGAGATGGAGAGGAAAAAGGCGGGACGAGAGAGTCTGGGAATGCAAGGGGGGTTGGCAAACAGCAGCCTTTGCCAAGACCGCCTTACAGTGACAGTGGGTGCAGGCCCTGCAGTGCTAGGCACAGCGGCATCCGTCCAGAGATGCACACTCCCAGTGAAGTACCAATTGCTATTCAACACCGCCTTGGGAATAGCCAGAGTGAAGGTGTGCGGGCTGCCGTCGGACAGCAGCGCAGCAAACGGTGAGAGGTCGAAGGAGTAGACGGGGATGTGGAAGTTGCCGTTGCCCACTAAAGGCGACCACATGAGCGGGTGCACGGCGCCCGTGTAGAAGACGGGCGCGGGAAAGACGGAGCCCGCAAAGATGCCGTCGATCTGCAGCACCAGCTCGCGGAAGGGCCCCCCCTCCGGCTGGAAGGTGGCTCTGGGGAAGGGAGGGGGGGTGGAGAGAGAGAGAGGAGGGAAAACAGGGAGAGGAGATGTGAAGGAGATCGAAAGAGAGGTTGGGCAACGCACGAGTCGGGGTGATTGAACCGGTAGAACTCGTCACTAGTGTGCGCGGAACAAGAGCAGGTGCAGGAGGACAAGGAGAGGAAGAAAAGAGGGAACAGTGGGAGATTGATGGAGAGGGGTGGGGATAGGACGCACGAGTCGGGGTAGTTGAACTGGTAGAACTCGTCATTGGCGTGCGCGGACACGAGCAGGTCAAAGCGAGCACGCACGGTGTTGGGGGGGAAGCCCCCGAGCGCAGAGGAGGCGGAGAGGACAGCGCCGCCTGTGACGTTGAAGCAGCACGAGAGGACGCCGGGGGAGTACCAGGGGAGAATGGCGGAGGGGGGGGAGGCGGGCGCCACTCCCCCGGTGTAGAAGAGCAGAGAGACGGTGACGTAGAAAATGCCTGGTGGGCGGGAAGCAGGGGAGGGGACGAGCAGAGAGACGGTAGGAGGGTCTCATGGTGACGAGGCGAAGAGGGGAAGAGGGAAGCAGGCTGAGTAGAGAAGGGCAGGGAACAGGTGGGAGAAGTGGCAGGTGACGCGAGCGAGGAACGCCGCGCAGCGCGCAGAGAATCAGCACCGTATGTGGGTGGGTGGGAAGTGTGTTTGCGAGCTGTGGTGGTCGTACCGGTGTATGTGCGGTCGACGACGTTCTCAAGGTAAACTGAAAGCACGTTGCTCTGTTGACAGAGGGAGAGAGAGGAGGGTGCATGCACGCACAGAGGGCAGGGAAGAAGAGGAGGGACAGAGCAGGGAGGAAGGCAGAAAAGCGGAGGTGGGCAACGCATGCACAGGACAGAGTCACACGTCTGCAATATCAGGTAAGCCGAGAGGGTGAGATGGAGCGAGGTTGGGTGGCGTGCGCTTGGGTGGAGTGCGGTGGGGAGGATGGTTGGGAGGTGCTGGGGCAAGACCTAGATTGACTCGGCGAGCATTTGCAACAGAAGGGGCTGGGCAGCCAAGTATGATTCGCCAAGTGCGATTCGCCAAGAGTGATTCGCCAAGTGTGATTCGCCAAGTGTGATTCGCCAAGTGCGATTCGCCAAGTGTGATTCGCCAAGTGTGATTCGCCAAGTGTGATTCGGCCAGTATGCGGCAGCAGCACTCACCGTGCGGACAGCCGGCGAGAGCGCCGTGAGGTCCTTCTCGAACGAGTACTTCACTGACGTGCCCAGAGGCTCCGCCGTGCTGCACGCATGGGGCGAGGGGAGAGGGGAGACGTAGAGTGGGTGAAAGTATCAGTATGCAAATTGCGTAAGGAACCACGTGTATGAATGAGGTGGCTCTGTCTGAGAGAAAGCCGCAGGGGGGGGAATGAGAAGCGGTGAGAAAAGCAGGGCGCACGGAAATGAATAGGGAGGAGCGGTAGAAAGGAAACAGGGCCGAATTTTGCTTCACACTAAACTTTGGCGTCATCCCTACGGATCAAAGGCAGAGGGGGTGCGGCGGAGAGGAGGATCAGGGTAGGAGGACGCAAGGGCGGACGTACACGGAGCGCGAGACCTCGAGGTCGCCAATGAAGACGGACATGCGGCGGTCGAACTGCACGCCGCTCACACGCACACTCACGTTCATCACCGCCATGGACCACTCGCCCTGCCAGGGGGAGGAGGGGAGGGGAAAGAGGGGAGGGGAGAGAGGGGAGGGAAGAGAGGGGAGGGGAGAGAGGGGAGGGAGGCACAGCGAGCGCTTTTGTGAATCGGTCACGTTAATCGCTCACGCGCGCGCTCACGCTCATCACCGCCATGGACCGGGAGGGAGGGGCGAGAGGGGAGGGAGGGGAGGGAGGGGAGGGAGGGAGGGAGGGGAGGGAGGGGAGGGAGGGGAGGGAGGGGAGGGAGGGGAGGGAGGGGAGGGAGGGGAGGGAGGGGAGGGAGGGGAGGGAGGGAGGGAGGGGAGGGAGGGGAGGGAGGGGAGGGAGGGGAGGGAGGGGAGGGAGGGGAGGGAGGGGAGAGAGGGGAGGGAGGGGAGACGGGAGACGGGAGGAAAGGGGGAAGGAGGTACAGCGAGTGTATCTGTGCACTGCCAAACGCTCTTTCGCCACCTTGGACCGCGCCGCGCTCTGGACCATCACCACCAGCGGCGTCGCATAACACGTATAGGACCAGCAAACTTGACCGTCAATATCAGATAAGGTGTTTGGCTCAGCCAGAACGGCGGGTCGGCCGGGTCGGGCTTACCGCGCACGCGGCGGGAATGGCGTAGCTGCCCGCAGTCGCCGGGGACCCGTAGGTGTTGCCGAACGGCGCGTCCACGAGCGGCGTCGTGCTGCCGCAAAGCGCGGACCCCGCGGGCCGCGGCAGGGGCTTGGTGACTTCGATCACGTTGAAGTACGTCGTCGTGCCGCCGCCGCCGGGCTTCGCGAACGTCGTGACGCGGCCGGCCGAGCTGCTGCCGCCGCTGGTGGTGGCGGCGCCGTCAGTCGCCGCGCCGCTAAGCGCTCATGGCGTCGGCGGCGGACTGCGCGGCGTGCGGGAGGACATTGGCGAGCTGTGAGGGGACGCTGGGCGGGTTGCGCCTCGCGCCGTACGGCGCCGGCTTACCGGGGCGCGGGCGGCGATGCGAGAAGAACCCCCCGGCGGGGCGGAGGAGGTTGTTGAGCGGCGACACGCGAACGGCGGAGGCGGCACAAATGGCGGAGGAGAGGAGGAGCAGGAGAAAGAGGCGCGACGCGGAGAGGCTAAGAGCCGAAGTTGCCATGATGGCGGCGCGATTGGGACGCGCGTCGAGACCGCGGCGGCACGATGGCCTGAGGCTGAGGGGGTTTCTTTAGTAGCGGTTGCGGCACGGATGGGTCGTTTTGAGACGTGAGCGCTATCTCGAGAAAGACTCAATTTTGCAGGAAGCTTGTTGTTACTAGAGTTCCAGTCGAATCGATGAAGGAATGAATGATGCTGTGCAGACATGGAGGCTGTACAGAATACACTGCGGGAGGCTGTAGGTGTACTGTACTTGGCCTGGGCGAAAACTCGGGAGCAAGAGCTGCGGATGCCTGCCGTGCCGTGCCGACTCATCGCGAGCGCGAGTCAAGAAGTCGTGCGCAGCTGCTCTGGCACGCCGCACGATCTCCACACAGTCATGCACAGTAGCCGTGTTTGTCCTCCTCCCCCGAGCAGAGTCCCTCCCGATCCGAACCCACTTGTGATCTGGCTGTATGTCTGACAGGAGAGGCATCGACGGCGAGATTGAAGGGGAAATTGCGTCCGTTGCGCGTCGGCAGAGGGGACGAGGGGGAAGGAGGCAAGTAGCGGTCGAATGGAGCTGGACTGGAGGTCAGGTACGACGCGTTACAGTAAGAATTTGTGCGTTTGAAAAACTTCAGTGAGAGGTGCGGAGGTAATCAAACGGAAGTTGGGAGTGGAGGGTCCCTCCGAATGTACTTGCCACACGGAATTCGGAGGGATGGCGTGGCCACCGAACAGCAATTTGCCATCGTAGCCGAGTTTCAACGGGAATTACCTCAAATACCCAGATTATGCCAGGCGTGGTGTGCATCTGTACTCCAATCACAGGGTTTCTTCCTTCTGGGGTTTATATTGTTTTGGGCAGCCCTGAAACGATTTGATTGGCTTGAGTACAAGTGCAAACCAGCTCTGGTAGAATTTTGAGTGTCGGCGATGTTGTCCCGAGTTTTAAGTTCCAGCACGGCAGCTGCGCCCAATCTCGAAATGGCATCAAGTGGGGTGTCATCGTGTGAGTGCTCCCTGCGACTTGCTGACTTGGACCAGAAGTTCAGGTATGCGTGAAAAAGGGGGGGGGGGGGGGGGGGGGGGAAGAGAGAGGGGTAGAGTGGGGGGAAGCGGTGGTGATCTGTGGAGTGGAGAGAGAGCTGTTGAGTGAGGAAACAAGTTGACTGGGTGGGAGAGTGCAAGGGGTGCGTGGGGGGTAGAGGGGAGGGGAGTAGAGCAACAGAAAGGTTGCTGGAAGGATCCTGTAAGGGAGCGTGATTGTAGGGGAACTGACCCCACTGCTGCTTGCAGTTTTGCTGCTGTGCTGGGGCGCTCCGACCGCATTCGGTGTGGATTCCCGCGCAGATATTTCTTCATTCCCATTCCGGGTACTGTAATGATGGGGCACAGTGCGAAGGCATACAACCCACCCGTTGACTTAAACCTTCCGAGTGGTTCAAAATACATGCAACCCGCCCCAAAGGCACACACGCTGAGGCAAAGACTGCTCTGCTTAGTTGGGATCTGCATCGCGCTGGTACCGGACTTACCCTCAAAATCACAAACATTCAGAAACCGTGTTTTCGATGTTAAAAAAACAATAACGATGCACATCGCTCTGAAGCGCTTGACCATTGACCCACCCTGCTGGGGTGTCAAAAAAGGACAAAACTCTCGGCGTTGACTTCAGCGTGCGACGAAACAAGTCAAGCTTGAGGATCTGGTTCTACACCATCGAAGTGTAGCTGAACTGCCTCTAGCCTAATAAGTTAAGCAGATCAATCTACTCAACTATTTTCACCAGGCCAAACGTTTCAAGGTAATTACCCCTTTTTTTTTTTTTTTTTCAGAGTACCTCCGGGGTCCAATCTGGAATTTTAACGAGTGACTTACACTGGAGTTCCGAAAAATATACAAGTGTGTGTTAACGTAGAAACGAATGATTACTAGAGGTGGAAACCTAGAACAAATACTAGTTGGTTGTACTCACTAGAAGCATACCTTAGTCTAGCCTATAACTTCTACATAGATAATATGTATAAGTTGACACACCCCCTAGGCTAGACAAGGGGTGAAACTAAACAAGAAGCAAACAGCTCAGGGCGGCACTACTAGTCCAACCACTGAGGCAGGGGTCTGGAGACCAGTCAGCAAGAATACAACCAAAACTGAAGCAAGCCAGGGTGGCACTACTAGTCCAGCCACTGGAGGTAAGGCCACAAGGCCAGTCTGACAAGCATATATAATAGAGAGTACACAATCAGGATCCTAACAGGGAGCAGCTACAGGAACAAGACCAAGCTGTACACAGTGCCGCTGATGATCTTTAGGCGCAAGCGCCTTAGTAAAGATATCAGCTGTGTTGGCACCTGAGGCCAAGTGAACTACGCGGGCCTGGCGGCGCTGCTGTAGCTCGCGCAGGAGGAAGTACCGCAGCTGGATATGCTTCGCTCTGCCCTCAAGCCGAGGCTCCTGACACAGGAGTATCATGGCCCTGTTGTCAGCGTACAGGACCGGGGCAGAGCTAGGCCGCTCACCTAAGTCTGTGAGCAAGAAGGTCAGCCAGCGGAGCTCCTGTGCCGCCATGGCACCAGCGTAGATCTCAGCCTCACAGCTAGACTGAGCCACAGACGACGAGCGAGTGGATCTCCAAGAGATAGCACCCGAACCAAGGCTGAAACAGTAGCCCTGCGACGACCTGAGCGTCTCAGCGTCGTCTGCCCAAGAAGCGTCTGTGTGCCCAGTAAGGACCACTGGCCTGCGTCCTCCTAGCACTAACCCCATGCCTGATGTACTAGCAAGATAACGCAAAACCCTCTTAGCGGCAGACCAGTGCTGAGGTCGGTGTCTGCCTGTAGCCACAAAGCGAGCCAGGATGCTGAGAGGGTATGCGAGATCTGGGCGAGTGCAAGTCATCAGGTACATGAGGCAACCCACCAGCTCTGCGTAGGGGCCACTGGGCTCTACTGGCTCCTCAGGAACGGGAGCAGAGAGCCCATGGTCTACGGGTAGAGGTGTGGGCTGTGCAGAGGAGAACTGAAGACCGAACCTCTGAAGGACCTGACGCACCAAGTGTGACTGGGTCAGAGTGATGGTGCGTGCTGCTCTGTCTCTAGAGATCTGCAGGCCAAGATAGCGACGCAGCTCTCCAAGGTCAGTGCAGGTGTGTCTCTTCAGCAGCTCAGCCTTCACAGAGGCCAGTGCGTCCCTGTCAGGAGTAGCGAAGACCAGGTCGTCTACGTAGACAAGGATGTAGAACGGAGTCTGGCCGGAACGCACAAACAGTGAAGGGTCAGCAGAGGACGGAAAGAACTGCAGGTCTGCTAACGTGGCACGTAGCGTGTCGTGCCACTCGCGGGGAGCCTGACGCAGGCCGTAGACCGGGCGCCTGAGAAGCCACTGGGTCCCAGGAGGGAAGGTACCAGTGAAGCCCTGTGGTCGGCGCAGGTAGACCTGCTCGTGTAGGCTGCCCTGAAGAAAGGCAGTAGAGAAGTCGAGGGAGTGAAGCTCGTAGTCACGCTGTGCTGCTACGTGTAGCAGCGCCCGAAGAGTGGTCATCTTCGGGGTCGGGGCGAAGGTCTGGAAGAAGTCAACCCCCTCGCGCTGACTGAAACCTCTGGCCACGTAGCGCGCCTTGAAGACAGGCGGCTCTCCAGGGGGGCGCTTCACCTTGAAGAGCCACCGACCATCGACTACGTTCACCCCAGGCGGGGGAACTGCGTCGACGTAAGTGCCGGTGGATCTCCAAGATGCCATCTCCTGCTCCATGGCAGCTATCCACTGAGAGGCCCAAGGTCCCGAGGTGGCCTCAGCGTAGGTGCGAGGGGTCGGGGATGTCGAAGGCGTCTGGGTCACCCTCAGGGACTAACAGCATGGAGCAGAGATGGGGGCAGCCTCGGAAAGGAAAGCCAGCTCGTACTGCCTGTCCTCTAGGACGTCACTGCCAAGGGCAGGAGCACCCCCGACGGACAGAGGACGGGCAGGGTCAGAGACCAGAGCGGTAGCGTAGTCAAGGCGGCGGTAGAGGCGAAGTCAGCGACAGCAGCGACAAGCGCGTCAAGGCGCGAGACAGGAACAGCAGGGTCGGTAACAAGAGAGGCAAGGACCGAGGACAAGGGGACGAGCAGCACGGAGGTTAGTCAGAGAACGGAGGAGGTGCAACAGCAAGGGACGAGGGAGGAGGGGACGGGAGGAGGGAGGACGAGACGAGTGGGAACGGAAGCAACATAGGGTGGGTGGGCAGGACAGGAGAGACGGGACGAGCACGGGAGGGACGGCGAGCCCAAACGTGAGACGGAGGGTAGGGTCAGGGACAGCGGAGGAGACACAGGAGGGGAACGAGGAGGAAGACGGGCCGGAGACGAGTCTGGCGGCGGGAACACAGGACCGTAGACAGGAAGGTCAGGAGGCGGTGGGGGAGACACCGGCGCGCGGTCCGGGGAGGGAAGGCCGAGCAGGCGGAGAGCGGAAACCGGCGGCGACGGCTGCTGCGGCGGCGACGACGGCTGGGCGGAACTCTCGGACCAGCAGAGCAGAACGACCGTCGGCAGAACACTCAACAGCAGCACCCCCAGAACCAACACCCCCAGAGCGAGAACCCCCTCCAACACCAGCGGCACCCCCAGAAGCCGCAGGACGAACACCCTCCTCCACACCAGCACCCCCAGGG